ATGAATGCTCGCTATCAAACTCAGCCAGTCACGCTTGGAGAGGTGGACCAGGTCCCCCCCCCGCCCCCCCCCCCCCCCCCCGGGGGGGGGCGGGGGGAGGGGGGCTGCGGTTCTTAAAACATAGCAACACAGTGTTGCTCCTAGGTTAGGGGTATAATGAAGGCGATCTACCTGTAAACTGTGTTACCTGTAAGCAACTAGGTAAGAACTTCTTTCCTAAGAGAGCTAGCCATGCCAAGTACATTTCTCTTTTTTCTGTTTTCCTAATTTGCTTGCCGAAAGCAGCTGGAATGAGTCCTTTCTGGAGAGAAAAAATAGGATTCACAATCTGCTTTTCACCCAGGTGATTTTGATTAATGAGATGCATTATATAAAATATGTCTAGGGTTGGCTTCCCGCTAAGATAAGCAGTGAAACGGCACCACATGTGGTATTTCAGTCTATGCCAATCCATAAACTGGGATTTATATACACAGCCTTTTTGAATCAGCGTTTTGCATTTTAACTGTGTCCTCGCAGGTGCAAAGTGGAAAGCTCATTCCTTTCTCACCGACTGTTAACACCTCTGTGTCCACCGTGGCATCTACAGTCCCTCCAATGTACGCTGGGGATCTCCGGCCAAAGCCATCTGTGGACGACATCCCAGGTGCCACTGACTATAGACTTCCGTCCTCAATAGAAAATCCAGAATCTCCGGTCAGAAGCATTCTGAAGTCCCAAGCCTGGCAGCCTTCAGCAGAGGGTAGTGGGAGCAGAGGAATGTTGAGAGAGTTTGGAGAGACAGAAAGCAAGAGAGTCTTGACAGGTGGAGATGGTGGCAAAGCGTATGGGTCCTGTGAGGAAGCAGAGCCATCGTGCCCCACCCTTAACAGAGTCTGGGAAGGAGACGGCCATAAGGAGCCCAAGGATGCTGTTCCGAGAAGGGGAAGCCTGGAACTAGCTCATCCCCCCGTGGGCCACCTTGGTGACGAACTGAAGGAATTTTCCATGGCTAAAAGCATCGCACAGGGGAGCCCAGACTTGAGGGACAGGCAGCCCTTTGAAGAGAAGGTCGGCGTGGAGAATGTCCCAAGAAGGAAGTTTTCACTAAGAGGTACGTTACTGCTCCTACAGTTTTGAAAACCAACTGGGTTTTTGGTGCCTGTTTTGGCGTCTGGTTGGTTGCCTGTGTCTGTGATTATTTTTAACTCAAGTAGGAAGACAGTTTGTAACTAGTATTGGTTACAAATCATGGGTGAATCCTCCTCTCCCCACATCTCCCTTTCGCATGAATCTGACCTGGATGAATCAATTTTTCAGCAATAAAAATACCTGGAGCTCTTTCATACATCCTGACAAGGATTCATGATGACTTTGGGCACATTAACTCACAGAACAGCCTTGTGACCTGCTGGCCCTGACAGTCCCTTTTATGAGTTGATGACCCCAAAAGGGCTAGGTAAGCGCAGGGAATAAGGGCTTGAACCCAGGACTGTGGATTTCCAGACTCTTTCTACAGTCCCGTTATGCCGACTAGGAAGCTCTGTTGCTGGTGGCTTTAGTCCTTCTTTTGCATTTCCATAAAATGATAGCATGTAAGTTACAGTGCTGGTTTTGGTTTCTGATTATAGCCATTTGAAACAGAGAAAGTATTGCTTTGGAGGAGAAGAAACGTTTTGTAGCGTGTACTTAAAGCTAATATCCTGTGTCTTGCACATAGAAAAAGACACACAGTCACAAAACCATTTGCTGTGTGCAGTAACCCACTGGGCAGTTTGGTTTCCTCCCAGAGTGTAGCCTGCTATACAGATTTGCATAAATCCGAGTGGATTGGGTCACCCCCCTGCGCCCACGGATTGGATTGAACTCCCGGTGCGGGACCGCAGAGGGTGAACAGCTGGAAGAATGTCTGCCTGGAGGAGTGAGTGCTGACTTTGCTCCTCTCCTCCCCAGCGGCTGACTTCGGGGAGCCCGCTTCCGAGCAGACGGGCACAGCTGCCTGGAAAACTGGTGCTCAGGCTGCAACCCCCGTGTCCCGGAAGCAGCAAGAGCCTTCCGAGCAAGCACTGGAGAGGTACTCCAAGAGTCCGGGTGCGATGTTTGCTGCCGGAGAGATCAAAGCGCCAGCCGTGGAGGGCATCCTCGACTCAGCCAGCAAAACCATGTCAATTAAAGAAAGGTAATACGATTTGATGATTGGGAAGTGATTCTGTGGGGGAGGAGCTGGCCGTTTGCTCGTAGAAAAAGATCTGAGTGATGGGCAGGGGTGACGTCGCAAGCCTGGATGCTCAGGGGTGGTAGTGCCCAAGGAGCGCCGGTTCCAGACTCAGATGAGGAAACACAGACATCTGCTTGCATCATTTGTTTGCAGTTCCGTTTGTTTTTTGTTTTTTTGGTTTGCTTTTTTTTTCCTCCATATGAAATTCTGGGACTAGCCAGCGACGGCAGCAGAGACCTTGGCTCCTTTCCCGTCAGACACGTGGCTTCAAATTGAATGCACCCATGCTTTGTGACTATTTGTCTGTGTAAAGTCTATGTAGACAGAACGAAGGTAAATCCATATTCGATCTTTGGGATTCGAATCTGAGTTTTGTTTATTCTACAGAAAGTGAAACGGGTGACTTTGCTAAAGTGCGTTTAGAAATTTTGTATCAGGTAATAGCGGTGAAAGATTACATGTGAGTGTCGGGTAACACCGTAGCCTCATTTTATTCAAAAGAAGAGTGGAGGATAGAAAGGCTGGCTTTAAATAGGACAGATACACGGGGTGCCTGGATGGCGCAGTCGGTTGGGTGTCCGACTTCAGCCAGGTCACGATCTCGCGGTCCGGGAGTTGGAGCCCCGCGTCGGGCTCTGGGCTGATGGCTCAGAGCCTGGAGCCTGTTTCCGATTCTGTGTCTCCCTCTCTCTCTGCCCCTCCCCCGTTCGTGCTCTGTCTCTCTCTGTCCCAAAAATTAATAAACGTTGAAAAAAAAATTTTTTTTTAAAAATAAATAAATAAAATAAATAGGACAGATACAGGGAACCCGAGCTGAATATTTCAGGTCGTATTTTCCTTGTTAACTATTAGCCACCGTGGAATTAAGCAGCAAAAGATGTAATTGTGACACGAAGACCAACCAGCAGAACCTTCTCTGCGCTTCTCCAATGTGACTAGCACAACCCGCCATGCCCACCCAGACCCTTCCTCAGCACCTCCCACCACTCAGAAGTTCTCTTGCGCTGTCCAACGGTGGCCGCTCTTATTTTTCTGGATACGTTTTGCACTGCCTAAGACTATATATCAGACAGGATGAATACTCTGGTTTCTCTTCAGATCGTACAAATCTTTCGCCTTTTGTATCAAACCAGGCTGAGAATTGTTCGTTCTGTTTTTCAAGCCGAGCTTTTTGAGCATCACTCACAAAAAGCTAGGCAGATGGAGCCTTTCTCAACGGACAAATTAGTAAGGTTGTTAAATCTTACTTTGGCCTTTACCTGTTTAAAATTCACAGTAGATGCGGGTGCCTGGGTGGCTCAGCCAGGTAAGCGTCCAACCTTCGGTTTCGGCTAGGGTCGTCATCTCAGTTTGTGAGTTCGAGCCCCACGTCAGGCTGTGCTTGGGATCCTCTCTCTCCCTCTCTCCCTGCCTCTACCCCCTTCGCGCACGCATGCGCTCGCTCGTGCTCTCTCTCTCTTTGTCATAATAATAAATAAAACTCAAAAAAAGATTCACAGTTACATGAGACTGCTAGACCAAGACTTAGATGAAGAACTGATGGGGTCAGCTAAGTGAGAGTGACGTCTTGAATCAGGGAAGCTGTCTGGCCTGTGCTTGTGTGAAGTCCTCCTCCTCTGAAACCTGGCCTAGAGAGACTTTGATCCCAGAGATCCTACTCTTGATAATCAGCTGGGTGAGAAGGAGGGGACATCATTTATGGGAATTAATGAGAAATATCACTCACCCACAAGTTCTGGCATTTTATACATCAGAAAATATCTCTGGAATAAAATCCCAGCGAAACATACCATTATGCTCCCATTTTTCACAGAGGCTCATAAAGTAGATTCCGCGTCTCTGGTGGGGACTTAGGACTTTTGATGTCGTTTTGTGTCTATCCACTATGCAGTAATTCTTGATTCACCTGCCCATTTTTAGTCAATCCGAGTTTATCTGGGTCTTTCTGAAAGCAGTTTTAATCTTTTTTTTTATTTTGTTTAATGTTTATTCATTTTTTGATAGACAGAATGTGAGTGGGGGAGGGGCAGAGAGGGAGACCCAGAATCCAAAGCAGTCCCCAGGCTCCGAACTGACAGCCCCGAGCCCGACGCGGGGCTCGAACCCACGGACCGTGAGATCACGACCTGAGCTGAAGTCGGACGCTTAACCAACTGAGCCACCCAGGCGCCCCTGAAAGCAGTTTTAATCTTAATGTAGAGTTCTCGTTTGTAGAAAATATGAGAGACTGTAAAGGCACAGTTGCTTAACCACCCGGACCTCACAGATGTCCAAGTTCAAGAATGGCTGTGAGGTTTCTGTGACCTCCCTGGAAGTGTGTTCAAAACCAGCTGTTGATCACAGGCACCATCTGGCTAGTGGGACACAGAACTTCTCAGTCTCCAGGGACTCCTGACCCCGACCTGTTGAGAACCATGATAGTAAAGAATACTTTTGCTCTTCGGTTTTTTTTTAAATAACCGTTTAAAAAAAAGGATGAGGGGATACTTTATTAGCAGCAATGCTTGTCACAAATTATGCTAACAGAAAATATATTGCCAGTGATCCTTTCCCCCTTATCTTGATAGTACTTTCATTTGTACTTTGCTGAAAAAGCAAACCTGTGTATCTTTATAATTCATCTGTGATCATTTTTCCCTAAGTGGGGCTCTGATCGCTCCCTTCTGTTAAGAAAGAAGAAAGAATGAGGCTTGACCCATTTAAAATAAGAGTGCTCTTTATATATTATGTGAGTGTCCCTTTTTCTTTTGTGAGGTGACACATAAAATAGAATTTTTTTAAAGTTTATTTATGTGTTTTGAGAGAGGGGGAGGGAGAGGGAAAGAGAGGGAGAGACAGAATCCCAAGCAGGATCCACACCATCAGCGCAGAGCCCAACGCGGGCCTCAAACCCACAAACCGTGAGGTCATGACCTGAGCTGAGATCAAGAGTCAGATGCTTGGGGCGCCTGGGTGGGTCAGTCGGTTAGGCGTCCGACTTCGGCTCAGGTCATGATCTCGCGATTCCTGAGTTCGAGCCCCGTGTCAGGCTCTGGGCTGACAGCTCAGAGCCTGGAGCCTGCTTCGGATTCTGTGTCTCCCTCTCTCTCTGCCCCTCCCCCATTCATGCTCTGTCTCTCTCTGTCTCAAAAATAAATAAAACATTAAAAAAAAAATTTAAAAAGTCAGATGCTTAACCGACTGAGCCACGCAGGCGCCCCTAAATGGAACTTTTAACCCTTACTGTAATTTCTTCTGACTGCCTCATTTTGCCAAAGGAGGGGTTTGGCTCCCAGGGCCACCAGGGCCCACGCGGGGAACCGACCGCGCAGGCACTGGTCCCCACCTTCCCCGTGGTAGGCGGGGGCGGGGTGACACTGCCGTGTGCTCACGCTGGCCTGCAGACAGCTAACGTGTGTGGTCTCGCTAGGAAATTGACTGGAGGACACCAGTGCTAGCCGGACATCAGGGTCAGCAAGATTTGCCCCCCTCCTGTGTTAATTTTCTCAATGCACGTGTTCTCGTGGCTCATTTCCAGTTTCACACTCCCATTTCCGACTCTTAAGAAGTAGAGACTGGACTTTGCAGAGTGCCTTTACCGCTTCTGCGAAAAAGCTGCAGCCCCGAGGACGCAGTTCTGGCCTCCTCCGCCTTGTGAATCGTCTCCTTTCTGCTCGGGACGGGGGCGTGCTGAGCTTCCGGTCTGAGGAGCACCTGGGGCCATGTGCTGTCCTCTGCATTTTTCATGCACTAACTACCTCATTAGTGCTGAAGGCAGCCCTAGCAGGGAGCCAGTGTTATCCCCACTTTGTACCTGGTAACTAGGACCTAGGAAAGTGTAGCAACTAAGAAATTACCGGAAATCCTCAATATGCTCCCCTTTTCTAGGGCAGGCTGGAGGTTCAAGCAGACATGCCTAAAGGTTCCTTCTCTTTCTTCGTCTTTGCTGATATCCATTATGAAGTTTGAACCGTCACTAACACAAAACTTAGGACACAGTCGGCTTTTGCCCCTGGATTAATAAAGTCACTGTTTCGCAACTGCCTAAATGATTTGGGTGTAAATCATCCCTGGTTGGGTACTTCTTTGAAAAACATTATAAATCGAGTAAATTGTGTGTTCCATAGGCCTAAAACCTTTGAAACCTCTTCAGAAGTGCGCTAGGCTATTAGAAATCTTTTCCACAGTTACTGAAGCAATGGTATCTGTGTGTTCGTATTCAGGAGATTACTAAAAAAGGCAAAAAAGCCATCCTGTCTTGTGAGGGCTTAGCTGAACTCCCGGGAATGGTGAAGAATGCGCCCCACGCCTCTCGCCAGCCTGCAGAGTCCCCTGCACGCCTCTCCACCCACCCTTGGCCTGCTCCCCACCAGCCAGAGACTGTGTCCGTGCTTCCCCGGCAGGGACTGGAGGCTCTTGCTGGAGATTTCAGCCACCAGAGGGCCCCCAGCTTTACGTAAGAATTATGACAGGAGGTGTGTTTCTCCTTTGCAGCCTCCTTTTCTGATCTTTGATTTGTCCCCTTTTGAAAGACACACTAGCTCACTCCTGTGGCCTGCAGACTAGCCAAGACCAAGATCGGATACGAGTACTAATCGGTGCCGGTCAGTCCTATCTGAAATCTGCCTGGTGCCTGTGATTGTCTGAAATGAGGGGGCATTTTCAAAGGGGGAGGAGAAAAACCACATGAGATTAGGAGCCATGTGGTTTGCCTGTCCCGTATTTGACCCAGCCCTGACTGCTGTGAGCCTGCAGAACCCGTTCTAATCAGGCAGGGCTCTCAGACCAGGGCCGCTGAGTACAGCCATGTCAGGCCAGTGTCCCCCGCTGAGAAAGTGTGGGCTGTGGCAAGACAGGCAGACATTTCCCCCCGGTGGCCTGGCGAGCACACAGCGCGGTGGCCCCTGGCCAGGCCTTGGGGTTAATAGGCTAACACGGTGCCACTCACTGGGCTCTCCACCTCAGACTAAGCAGATGCCCAGGCTCTCAACATCACAGCCCTGCAAACAGTGCTTGGACTTGGCGGATGTTACAAGCGCTGACAGTCGTTTGAATTGCGTAGGCAGTAATTTATGGCATGTGTAGGACCTGACGTTTCACACCTCGGCCCCTGCCAGCGCATAACGGTCTCGCCGACTCCAGAGGGTCGTGGGATCGCAGGAGGAGAGAACGTGTTTGGAAAGGTCTCCCGCCCTCCTCAGCTTGTTGAACACCAAGTAGGAAATCTGAAGGGACAGGAATGATACATTTAAGTTTCAGTGCGTGTTATTTGTAAGTTACCCGTCATGTCATTTGCACTCTGCAAGCTAGGGCAGGGTCCAAGTACCCTGTGCGCTGAATCGAACCACCATCTCTTCCATGGTATTCTGGTTACTCTGTAGTCTTTGGAAACTCCTGAAGATGACCCTGCCAGCACTTCCAGAAGTAAGATTTTAGGGTTTTGGAATGGAGGAATTCTTTGAAGGCCATCCCAGGGGGAGAAAAGAACATTATAAGCAAGCCAGAATACTCTGCAGTTTCTAAAACATGAGGACAAAAACATGTCTGGACAGCTAACACACTAATGTAGTGAGACAAGCCACCTATTGGGAGGCAGGGCACCCCTGCATGGGAACCATATCACCCTGCCCCGGTGACGTACAGCCTGACCTCCGTCAACGAAATCCTTGGCCTGTATGTGTACTCGTGCCTTGTCCGTCGCATCAGGGACAATAACCAGTTTCTCTGAGGTTGCTGTGTAGAGCAGTAAAGTGTCAGGTGGACTATAATATAAGCTGGTTGTAGATTCCACAGTTTGATTTTTTCTAAGTCAGGTTTATATCGCTCAGAGCAGCCGCTGAGGAAACCATATGGTTACTTGGATTATGTTGTCATTGCTCTGGATTCCCAGGAGCTTTGTTGTGAGAATGTTCTCAAGGACTGTCGTGCATTATTTCCCATAAACCCAACTCACGAGGATGAATTTGATGTTTTAGAATCTCTCAACTCATTTGGAATCAACTCTGATTAAAAAGGTAGATGGGAGGCTGGGTGGCTCAGTCAGTTAAGCATTGACTCCTGATTTCAGCTCAGGTCATGATCTCACGGATTTGTGAGATCGAGCCCCGCATCGTCAGGCTCTGTACTGACAGTGCAGAGCCTGCTTGGGATTCTCTCTCTCTCTCTCTCTCTCTCTCTCTCTCTCTCTCTCAAAATAAATAAACAAACTTAAAAAAAAAGGTAGATGGACAAGATGAATAACTACTGGTCTGTGTCAAAGGTGAAGTAAGACACAGAAGCTGGCTCTGAGACCAATTTGCAAGAATGTCAGGGAGATGAATGTCTCTCGTCACAAGATGGTGAATGGGAAGTACTTCTTCACTTGAGTGTAAGAGGACTGGCATGCCCCCTTTTTGAAATCTCATTTATAGACCCTTTGAAACCTTCGAAAGCTCTATGCAAATACTAATTATTTTTTCATGATTTTATTATTTTTACTCATTAGAATAAAACCGACTCATTCAGAATAATTAGAGAAAAGATGAGTCATTATATAGTCTGATGAAAACACCTGAAGGCATTGAGAATTTGTATTTAAGTGCATGAACTAGTCCTTGTAGCATGCAGAGTACTGTCAAACCTCACAGATCACAGCAGGTAGGGCTAACTGAAACCTTTAGCCAAATGGGGACTGTCTTAGAGAGTACGATTCCGACTCTAATCGCCAATATGGGTTTTTTCCTCCACCACCAAGTGTCTCTGACACCATCTGGGAGTCCCTACAATTCAACTCAATTCTGATGCTGTGTACCTCAAGTTGACATCAGATCCTACAGGTTAAGTGCTCCGTCCTATAAGACTGCCCCCCAACACACACACACACACACACACACACACACACACACACTCCAGATGCCAGTGACAGGGCCACGTTGTCACCTGGGCTTTTCACCCTACAGGCTATAGATTGGAGATTCCGGTGACCCGCTCCTTGGGTTTGGTTTACTAGAGAATCTCACAGAACTTAGATAAATGTTTTGCTCACTAGATCTCAAGTTTATTATGGATGGATATAACACAAGAAGAGCTAGATGGAAGATCATAGCGCCAGGTATAGGGAAAGGGCGTGGAGCCCCCATGCTCTCTCCAAGCTCACTCCTCTCCCCCAGTCTCCACATGTCCACCAACCTACAAGCTGTCTGAGCCCCATTCTTCTGGGTGTTTATAGAGGCATCATTACATAGGCGTAGTCGATTAGATCATTGGCCATTGGTGAGAGATTCCGCCTCCAGCCACTCTCCCCCTCCAGAAGTCAGGGGGCATGAAACTGAAAGTCCCACCCCTCTAATCAATATTTGTGATTAGAGGCAATCAGTTGCCATCCTTAGGTGCTTCCCCAAATGCACCTGATTAATAGACACCTCTGTCATTCTCATCACTTAGGAAATTCCAAGGGTTTCGGCAGCTCTAGGCCCAGAAAGTTGATGAAAACCAAGTATATATTTCCCATTATAAATCACAGTATCACAGACTGATAAGTGGCATTATATCAGTTTTATAGAATGGTCATTTGAGGTCTTATCTGTCGCATCACGGAAGGGAAGGAAACTTGGAAAAGGAAGAGTAAGGGACAGGTGCAGAGTTCGAAGCTTCTGCCCCTTTGGGGGAGTTCTTTTCTTTGTTGCTTACTGTGCATTATTTGAATGAATGGACAAGTTTAAGGTTAAGGTATGATTGTGTATAAGTTTGTAGATGGAAGTGGACTCTTATTCAAGTACTGGAAAGTTTGCTTTTTTATTTGCTTAGAAAAACTTTTCTCGAGGAGCAGAATATATTTCATCCCATCTCCAATTCAAATATTTAGTGGAGTCAGGAAAATTAGTAGAAGGGACCTAAGAGACCATTGAGTCCAGTTCCCAGTATGACCAATATGGAAAGGAGGCCAGGCTACTTGACCAGAGTTCACGGCCAAGCTAGGGTTGATGTGCTGCTTTAAAATATCCAAGTTATGCACGTGCACTAGGATGTTTAAAAGACTTGGCCGGGCAGGCTCTGCAGAGAGCAAAAGGGGTCTAAATCCCTTTTTTCCCAGTCTTTAAATTGTTTGAGCATCAGCTCAAATGAGTTTAACGATAACCACATTTTTCCCTTTTATCTTTCCCATGTTTTTCCAACTTAAATGCCCAAGACTGCTTCGTTCATCGTAGGGGAGTGAGCCAAAACAGCCTCATGCTCGTGAAAATAGCCTTTCACAGATTGTAGCATCCAGGCAGCTCCGTATCAAGTTACACCAGAGTTGAGCTAAAGTAGGTTAGGTAAAAATCTCAATTAATTAGATTCTTTTTTTGTATGTGGCTTTCCCCAGGAGGAAAGTTGGAGTAATCATTTTTCAAAAATGGGTTTGTAGAGAACAGTTTCTGTATTTAGAAGATAGATTCGAAAGACCAAGTGCATTTGGAGGAAAAGGACAGGGCTTAGAGTACAGGAAGAGAAGAAAATCTTAAACATTCGTTTGCCTTTTATTGAAAGGTACAAGACGATGGTTAATTTTTTATAGCTTTTAGTTTTGAAACCCATTTCTGCTGTGTTTTCTGCAAAGGAGTACTATCCAATCCAGCTGTAGTCATTAAATGCTATTTTACCAAGTGACCAGAAGGGGTCATTAGAAGACATTTTTCTCTGGGGATGGTTACCTTAATCTCTTTGCTCTCAGGGTAAGGGCAAGGGAAAAACACAGAGATTCCTTTGGTAGAATGATGAAGCATCTTTATCTGGCAAGTGAGATTTCAGGTTTGCATTGTAATCAACTTAAAATTTGGTGGGGGGGTGCAGGGTGCATCTTAGAAAAGGGAATGGTTATGTTAATTTTCCAGGCATAACTTACTTCAGGATAAATGAAATTCAAAGGTTAAAATTCAGTAGCTGTGGTCACGTATTGACCAAAGACTTCTAACTGACCCAAATTATGGTTCTGTTACAAGTAAGAGTGTGGTGCTGAACCCCTTTTGGTTGGCGTGTTTTCCCCTCAGATTAGCACTGTTGAGGAAAAGCGGTGAAGAGGATTGGAAAAACAGACTTAGCAGAAAGCAGGAGTATGGCAAAGCGTCTATCGCCGGTGGCCTGCACGTACAAGAAACGGAACAGTCCCTCAAGAAGAAGGTAATGCTTTACGTGTTCGGGAAAAGCACTCAACTAACATCATGCCTGGACGTGCATCAGATAGGCGAGCATGCATGCCTTGACTAATTAACCACCCTGTGAAACACTGTCTTGCCTTTTGGGTTCGCACTGTGCACCTGTCACACAGCAGCTGAAATTGATCAAAAGGTAAAGGCTTGAGATATTATCAAACTGGTGAGAGCACTGCATACATAAGGCGTCCGCAAGCAAGTCCCTACATTTTGAAGTGTGTACTCTTCGGTTTAAAACCTTCCTGAAACGCAGTCTGATTTTACAATGTTATTAAAACCTTTGTAATGAAAATCTTTAATCGACCACTAGCAGTTTATAAGTTGGCATATCAGATGTGGACTCGAATGCGCCACACTGAGATTTAAAACCCACGCACCCAGAACAAGGACATGACGGTGGTCAGTGCGTACTTATTTTCGTGATCCCGAGCATGTTTTACAGTGAGCCGGTGTGCCTTTTGTTGAGGATGTACAGCAACCTATGTTAACAAGTTTAAATAAAATCAAGTAATACATTGTTATCGATACTGGCAAGCATGTCCTGTGGAAAAGCAGTGATGAACTGTTAAATTACAAGTGTAATGATGACCAGCTTTTGACGAGTTAGTGCACACTTTCAAAGCGGACGGTAACTTTCCTGTTGCTTGGCCCTACGATTGTAAATGCATGTGCTGGCTGGAGGCAAGGTGGCCACGTGTGACACGTCCTCTGGCCAACTTCTAGGGTTAAAAGTCTTCAAACAAATGAAAAACAAAAAAACAAAAAAACCACTTCCAACAGGACGATCACCTGTACCTCCTTTAGTTCTAAAACAACTTAGCATCTATAGCAGAGGGGAATAGTGAATGTGGCCTTTATGCATGCAGAAACTTACATGAAAGGGAAGCATCCATGCAGGACGGTGAGGCAGGAACTCTGATACTCCTTTATATGGTACCTGTGTGTCTTCATACGTTAGATTGGAACAACAATTTATATTTCCTTTTTTGAGACATATATGGTATTAAAGATAATGGCTAAAGACATGTGATTTCAGCCATTTGTAAAGTTCTCCAATTCAGTCGGATATTTAAAATTTTTTTTTTCAACGTTTTTATTTATTTTTTTTTGGGGACAGAGAGAGACAGAGCATGAACGGGGGAGGGGCAGAGAGAGAGGGAGACACAGAATCGGAAAGCCCAGAGCCTGACGCGGGGCTCGAACTCACGGACCGCGAGATCGTGACCTGGCTGAAGTCGGATGCTTAACTGACTGCGCCACCCAGGCGCCCCTCAGTCGGATATTTAAAAGCGTAGGTGTGAAATTTGGATTTCAAGAATGAGATCCTGAAGTGGAAAAAACAGCCAGGGTCCTTCTATCGTATCCCTGTTGCCCACAAACTTTATCTAAAAGGGTTTTGAAATCACCGCTTCAAAAGACTTTAACACTCACCTCCTGTTGGTCCTTTTGGAAGATGCAAAGGAGCCATAGGAGCTGACAGTCCCCTATGGCCAGGCGGAAGTTCAAATAGAGCTATTGTGCACATGGCCAGCTAGAGTCCTTGTGAGGAGTGAATGCGATAAGAGCCCTATCGCACTGGGGGATTGCGGGAGATTGGGGGATCATTTGAGCTGTGACCACCAGAAGGCTGTGAGCGTAGGGGGTGAGATCCGAACTGCCTCACACCTGGCTAAGGTTTTCAGAAGGCAAGAGTCGTAAGCAGGGTAGGGTAGCCCCTGGGGGTGGAAATGCAGTCAACAGAAGCCCTAAGGGGCCCTAAGTGTGCCTGGGGCCCATGTGTGCAAGGATGTCTCTGGGCTCCTGGACGCTGCAGATTCTGCAGCAGTAGTGAACTCACTATTCCTCCTCCTCCTCCTCCTCCTCCTCCTCCTCCTCCTCCTCCTCCTCAGTGACCTAGTTCACTCTGGCCTGAGACGGTAAGCTCTTTGAAGTTAAAATAAGCCGATCTATTTTAGGCTTTTGTGGCAGACATTGGGAAATCTCAAGTTCTGTTGAGGTCAAGTGGTTTGCACATGGCCCCTGATAAGCCCTTGGCTTCTTTTCTTCCCAAGGGCTAGCAGTATATTTCAGTCACACCTTCGCTGGGCTTAGATGTGAGGTGCCTCGAGCCTACTCTGTCTTCAGGCAGTCCCCCCACAGCTGAGGAGTCCTTGAGAGACACCACCACTTGCCGGGTGTCTGAATCCTGCCCCAGAGAGAAAAGGACGTTCATGCTGCCTGGTGCATGCCGATGGGATCTTGCTGCATGGGCTGGATCTAGGCTTGCTGCCGGAGAGCTCTGCAAAGGGAAGCAAGCTCCGGAACCTTCCATCTTTAACACCAAGACAGGAAGGGGGCTGGTTATAGAGTCAAGGCATCACTTGCGGCACAGTTTGTGCATTCATGAAGGGCACATAGTTTCTGGGTGCCGATCCTTTTACAGTTTGCCCTCCTCCAGCTTTTGGGTGTCGTAAGCGCAGTCCCACGAGCTGCAGCCTGTGGAAATGCAGAGGAGACAGGAACTAGAGACAGGACTGTCTAGAAATCACAGCCATTGCCCCTCTGAAAATCCTTGCTGTCCAATAAAAATAGAATGTGAGCAACGTAAGTGATCTTAGATTGTCTAGGAACCACGTTAAAAAAAATGTGAAAGGATGGGGCGCCTGGGTGGCGCAGTCGGCTAAGCGTCCGACTTCAGCCAGGTCACGATCTCGCGGTCCGTGAGTTCGAGCCCCGCGTCAGGCTCTGGGCTGATGGCTCGGAGCCTGGAGCCTGTTTCTGATTCTGTGTCTCCCTCTCTCTCTGCCCCTCCCCCGTTCATGCTCTGTCTCTCTCTGTCCCAAAAATAAATAAACGTTGAAAAAAAATAAAAATAAAAAAAAAGTGAAAGGATGCCTTAAAAATCTGTAAGTGTTTTGTCTCCGTCAAAGAGTTTGTCCTCAAACGAAACCAATCTGTGGTTGCTCTAACCAGCATCTCCTTTGGGATCCTATCTGGTAAGAAAATATTCTTTTAGCCCATGAATAGATTTGGAGAACTAAGGTAGTTTTCCTTCCCCTAGTAAAAGACTAGTCATGTCTCAGAGAATCTGTAACTTAATAGGAGTTCTCAGCTTTCCAAATTTATTCCCCCAGAATCAGGATTGATGGTTTGGAGCTTCCGAGCACCAATCGTTTACATGGCTGACTCTCATTTCCTGTAACAACCAATCTGGGTTCTTTCTCCTCTTTCTTTCCCTTCCTCTCTCTAGGCCACTCTTCTCTCTTCTTTCTCTCGTTTTTGGTTTAGTCTAGGGCAGCGCTAACCTGACTTAGACATTTTTGCTTTTGCAACATCTATAATGAGTTCTGAAGATGAGAAGGCCATTTGGTTTCTAGATTTGGCCTGGTCCACACTGTATGGAATGTGTGCTCTTGAACCTGATCTGGAGACCGTTTCTTCCAGGGTAACTCATTCCAGCCAAAGAGCGAGAAAAATAATGCAAAGTTGTAAAAGTAGGAGTCTGTCTGTTACAGCTCAGTTGCATGTATTTATTTTTATCGAGTAATTACTCAAAATCTCAACCTCATTTTGGCATACTTGACCTTAAGGCAGATAGTGAGTCCCATGCGGTTTGTTAAGATAATCATCCAGTATATCAGACTTTTTCCAGGAAATAAAATGCCTTTATAGACTTTGCCATCACCATCCAGCTCTATGTCTGAGTCACAGATACGGACTGGATATCCAGCTGCCCTCTATAGTATCAGGTCAGGGGAATCAAGCTGAGACCTATGATGTCCCCAGGGCACGTTCTTGAAGATTCAAGGAAGGTAAATCTGCCAATTCAGGGTCTAATTGTCTGCTGCCTTTGAAATTCCAAATCACGATTCAGGAAACAGTCCATTGAAAGGCCTAAGGGAGGAGGGAGAGAAAAGGCTGATGGTATGACCTCCAAATTAAAGATTCTCATCCCACTGATGGAATGTGAGTTTACTTGGTGTTTGGGCCACCCGACTGTGTGTGTGAGCATGCGCATGCATCTAATGGAACCCAGGCACAAAATCCTTGAAAATGATTGTGACACCCTTAACCCAACCCTACTCTTCCAGCAGTCCCCAATGTTTCCTATTTGTTTTAACCTGTAGGAAGAAGGAGGATTTGCAGATGATAGTGCCATTTCTAATCTGCTTTGGGTAAGCCTGACTCTAACATAGGTGTCCTCTAGATGACAGCCAGAATTCTACGTCTACCTCACCACATGTAATCTCATCAGTGATGGTTCCCTCTGAGGCCCTTGTGTTTGGTTTCTTACCCCGAGGCAAGATGCCACCTCTATCCAGAGGAGAGAGCTATCCTGTTACTTTAATTTTTTTTTTTTAAATCATAGAATGAAAAATTGGAAACGACTTCAAATGAGATATTTTACATTAAATGCTAAAGCTGTCCATTAAAGTCCTGGTTCCCCTCTCCGTAACCGAGTTATCATATAAATTGCAGGAATCTTGTCGTTAACTCATTTAATTACAGCACAGACCTGACTCGGGTGTATTTACTGTGCTCGTATGGATTTATGTTAGCATTCTAAGAAAACAAACGGGAAGGACTCTCTTGAAAAGAGAGCTGAAATTGCAATGAGTAAATTAACATTCTGTCCAAGAAATCCTTGTTTTTGTCTCTCCTCTTCCCCACCCTGCTCTGATAAACCTTCTCTTTTCACCTCTAATCCTCTTGCTTTGCTCTATAGGAACCTGTATATGCTTCTACTTATTCTCCTGCTATACCTGCTGCCCATAAATACCTGTCTTTTGTATCTATTAATCAGGTGAGGAAAAGCCTACACATTTTAAGCCTCATTGCAATTTCCGAGCAGTAGGGAAGAACTTGTTTCGTTTGGAGAAGTAACTCCCTTGCAGCATTTCGGTGTGCGTGTTGGTGCGTGTGCGTGTGAGAGAGAGCGAGAGAGGGAGAGAGCACGGGATCAGTTCTTCATATATTTACAGTCTGTCACACATTTCACATCCTTGGGTCAGACTCTTAGACTTGATGGCATTAATTCACCTCATAATCACGGAACTGGTGTAAGAGGAAAATTTCCCCTTTTAATCTCCAAGCATTATAGTCTAAGTCAAGTCAGGAGCCCAAGGAACGCACCAGAGTGTTCTGGCTCCCACTCAGGAACCCTGCCATCTTGCTTAGCTTGGTAAGGGAAGGTGTGGTGGAGGCAGTTGAGTGTGGACGGGCCTGAGAGGAAGACAGAGCAAGGAAGAGGCTATTCTGACAGGAACTGCTTGCAGTCATCTCCTGAAAGGAGAAGCACAGACCTCCTGCCCCCTTACCTTCTGTCTTCACAGTACCTCATCTGAGCCCCACCCCACAAGGGAGACCTGGCTTGGGCTCAATAATCCTGCTGGTACATAATACATGATGATGTTTAAAGCCAGAAATACCAGTGGTTGTTTTTTATTCCCCTTGGAATGTCCCTGGTGTCAAAATAGCTGTGAAAAGTGCCTGCATCCGCTTTGTCACTAATCCAAGATTCTCGCCTCCAACAGTCTGAGGGAACTTACCTAGCCATTTCCCTCTGCGGGCCTCTGTCTCCTCATCAGAATGGGGACTTTCAGACCTCTCAGGCGTCCTCCATCTAAAAATCTCATGACTATACTATCCTGTTCCGTTAGGACTAGTGACGACAAAACAGGTCTTTGAGTGAGAGGCACAAAGACCTCACTGCAAATACGAGAGGGACAGAGTGCTGTCAGAGGGAGGTGCCTGGTGAGCCCTCATACTACATCTTGACATCTTCACAATGGAATCTGCCCATTTTTCTCCCCAAGGCAGCCTCTTCCTTAACTCTCCTAGGCTCTTTCTTCTGGAGTTGAGAATGCTGATCTGGGAGAGGCCAGCCCCACACAGACAGCAGTGTCCACCCCAAAAAGACAGGCCGAAATCTGGAGCAAACCTGCTGTTCTGTCACTAAGGGGGAGCAGGGATGGATGGTTTCTTCTAAATAAGTCATATTAAACTTTCAACGAAAAGATGTATCATTGAACTCTTTAAATATAAATTTTGTATATTATACACACACATCTATACGCTTCTTAAATAAACTTTATTTTTTAAGGAGTGTTAGGTTCACAGCAAAATTGAGCCAAAAGTACGGAGATTTCCCATATACCTTCTGTGCCCCCCCACACACACACATAGCCTTCCCCACTACCAACATCCCACACTAGAGTGGTACATTTGTTAAAATGGTTGAACCTACATTGACACGTCATTATTGCCCAGTGTCCATAGTTTACATCTGGGTTCGGCCTTGGTGTGCATTCTCTAGATTTTGACAAATGCATAGTGACATATATCCATCATCGATTACAGTGTCATATAGACTAGTTTCACTGCCCTAAAAAACCTCTGCACTCCATCTGTTTATACCTCCCTCCCTCCCTCTAATCCTTGGCAATTTCTTTACTGTCTCTGTGCTTTTGTCTTTCTTAGAATGTCATATCGTTGGAATCATTGAGTTGGTAGCCTTTTCAGACCGGCTTCTTTCACTTTGTAATATGCATTTGAGTTTCTCCATGTCTTTTTATGACTTGATAGCCTGTTTCTTTTTAATCCTGAATAATATTCTCGCTGGATGTACCACAGTTTGTTTGGTTACAGATATGGAACACTTCACGAATCTGTGTGTCATCCTTGCACAAGGAGCCATGCTAACTTCTGTGTATCGTTCCAATTTTAGTACATGTGCTGCCGAAGCGAGCACGTACCACGGTTTATTTATCCATTTGCTTGCTGAAGGGCATCTTGGTGGCTTCCAAGTTTTGGCAATTATGAGTAAAGCTGCTATAAATATCCATATGCAGGTTTTTGTGTAGCTATAGATTTTCAACTCATCTGGGTATCAAGGAGCACAGTTGCTAGATCATATGGTAAGAGTATGTTTAGTTTTGTGAGAAACTGCCAGACTGTCTTACAAAGTGGCTGTACCCAAGTTTGCATTCCCACCAGCGAAAAAAACCCCAGAGTTCCTATTGCTGCACTTGCTCTTGTCAGTGTTCTGGATTTTGGCCATTCTGATGGGTGTGTGGTGGTATCTCACAGGTGTCTGAATTTGCAATGACATGTCGCAATGACATATGATTTGGAACACCTTTTCATATGCTTGTGTGCCACCCATAGATCTTCTTTGGTGAGATGTCTGTTCCGATCTTTGCCCATCTTTTAATCGGTTGTTTTCTTATTGTTGAGTGTTAAGAGCTCTTTGTATATTTTTGGATGACATTTCTTTATCAGATGTGTCTTTTGAAGATATTTTTTCTCAGTCTGTGGCTTGTCTTCTCATTCTCTTGACAGTGGCTTTCACAGAGCAAAGGCTTTTTCATTTCAGTGAATTTCAGTTTATCAATTCTTTCATTAGTGTTACATCTAGAAAGTCATCATTGAATTCAAGGTCATCTAGAGTTTTCTTCTATGTTATCTTCTACAAATTTTATAGTTTGGCATTTTACATTTAGATTTATGATTCATCTTGAGTTAATTTTTGTGAAGGATGTAAAGTCTGTGTCTAGATTTTTTCTTTCTTTCTTTTTTTTTCTTTTTTTTTTTAGTTTCATGTGGATGTCCAGTTGTTCTAGCACCACTTGTTGAAAAGACTGTCTTATGTTCACTGTATTGCCTTGGACTTTTCACAGATTAGTTGAGTATATGTGTATGAATGTATTTCTGGGCTCTTTCCCTCCCCCCCCCCCCCTTTTGGGAGAGAGAGAGAGAGGAAGTGAGGGAAGGGCAGAGAAAGAGGGAGACAGAATCCCAAGCAGGCTCCATGCTGTCAGCAAAGAGCCCGATGTGGGCTTGAACCCACAAACTGTGAGATCATGACCTGAGCCAAAGTCAAGAATCAGATGCTTATCAACTGAGCCACCCAGGTGGGATTGATCTATTTGTTTGGTTTTTTCTTGATTACTGTAACTTTACAGTAAATCTTAAAATCAGGTAGGGTCAGTCCTCCAACTTCATTCTTCTCCTTCAATATCGTATTGGCTATTTTGGATCTTTTCCCTCTCCATATAAACTTTAGAATCAGTTCGTCAGTATCCACAAGGTGACTTGCTGGGATTTTTATTGAAATTGTACCAAATTGTAGGAAGAACTAGCATCTGTAAGGAGTTGGAAAGAACTCGCATCTTGACAACATTGCAGCTTCCAATCCATGAACATGGGATATCTCTCCATATATTTTTAAGTTTTAAGAAAAATGCCATTTACCACAGGTAGTTTATGTTTAATCACTTCAACATTAAAATAGGCTTAAAAATCTATATTTTTGTATCTTGACAACTTTCCCAGATAAATATTTTATGTACCAACCTTTTAGCATTAGCTCATCAGTGTTCTCTGAGACTCCTTTCCTCCTGCAGTCCTGGTATCTGTGTTCACTAATGCAGAGGCTCAGAAAAGAAAACAGAGCATTACAACAGCACACACGTTCTGTCTCAATGGACTGTTTGTCTCTTTGTTGGGCTTTAACACACATTTCCTTCTTCCTCACATGCCTCCCAACTGTACCAGAATAAGATTTCCCTGTATTCCCCTCCCTTCATCTTAGTCCCTGGTAGATGTGGCAAGACCACGTTATGGTTACTTTGAGGTCTAAGCCTAGTTGTGGTCTTTTTCATATTTTGTTCAGGCCACTTGAGGCTGCATGCGCTAATGAGGTACTGAAATCACCAAAGGAGGGGGCAAAGTCATATTTCTTTTAACAGTACACAGAATTCGAAATGGTGATAGCATTTTTTAAAAGCAAGAAGTACTGATTTGTTACTTTTCCTTATTTTTACTACTTCATCTGTGCTCTTATAATTTCTTCCAACACTGTAGTTTAACTAGATGTGAATAAGATAAAAATTTAAAAGCCAGATCACAGTATTTCCTAACCATGAAGCTCTCTAGTTGTGTTAATGGGAGAGTAGTAATCCTATTAAAGCGTGGTAGATCTGTTTCTTACCGTTATCACCTGTCAGCAACATGTGGGAAGATTTGTACTAGGCATTTTCAGTAGGTACACAGAATAGTGCCATAACCTGAAAGCATTCTTGCAGATTGACTCTTTACATAACTTCAACCTGTGTCCTACCAAATCTCTGTCCATCCCTAAGACCTGCCTTGCTTCCCAACTGTTTCACTTGTTACACTGCCTTCTACACACACACACACACACACACACACACACACACACACACACACACA